AAAGGTATCGTGAAGGACCTGGAGTCTACATAAGATGTCCACTTCCAATTCCTTGGAGTATCACTCCATGAAATTACCAGTTCCCTTGCTCCAATCATATAACATTTCTTCCCAGTTATTTTATCAATATGAAAGCTCTGCGTGCATCAAGTTCAAATAGACTGTCCTTAATATTTTATTAAGTTGAGAAAAGTACAACCGAAAAAAAATGAAAACTCCCAATCCAAAATAATTTTTCTGTCACAAGTTCTGAATAAAATGTATTTAGATTGTGTGAGCTGAACCTTGGAACAAATTAAAATAATAAAATCTGCAATTGATAGCTCTATACAAAAAATAATGGGATATTCTGATTGTGCTTGTGAAGGAAAGAAAGCTTTCCAGTATATTTGTTTCGCGCGGGTTTATCGAGCCTCGCTAATAATTAAAGGATGATTCAGACGATTGTATAAGGATCAAACCATTTGAGACAAAGTTCTAACGAAGGGTGCTTTATTTATGAGATTACAATGAAAAACGAAACAGAACGCCTGCAAGGGGCACAAGCACACAAAGTAATTTGAAAATTGACTATAAGAATTAAAAGAAATAAAATTACATATTTTCTATTTGTGAGTGATTGATTCGGGGTCCTTTCTTTCTATGTCTTCTTTTCTTTTATACTCCTTCACAAGTCTTCCTTGTGAAATCGTTTGGAAATTGTTTGTTGCTCTATAACTACCCACTCACTTCATAATGACCGATGTGTCAAGGAACTGTTGTTTTTAAACTGCTACCACTACTCTCCTCTTTTAACTGCTTGCAACCAAGATCTTTGGATTGTGGAATGTGATAAGATTGTTTGATAACTGCTTCAATAACCGCTGCTCTAGATAACTATAGGACGTTGTGTTCGCTCAGATCTTGGGCGTCTTGAAGGCCTGGGCGAGATTTGGACTATAGCTCTGAGCAACAGTAAGGTACTTCATTCGCTCAGATTCTGGGCGCTTTGCAGGCTTGGGCGATACTTGTCCTCTGTTTATGGGCCTCAACTATGTTTACAATAGTCTCATTTGGGCCCATTCCTCCAATTCCCTAACTTGGCTCCATTTCTTTGGACCATTTATTTGGGTCTCATTTTTGTATGTCAACAATATCCAACAAAATTTCCAGATTATCCTACTAGATGTGATCAATCTCTTTCTCTTAGTGTTAGTTTACGGTAAAAGTGAAAAGTCTAATGAGAATTCACATGAGTATGTATCGTAGTTTCTGGACTTTATTTATGAGGGCGTTTAGTGAAATCATTCGAACACGAATAATGTAGGTGTCTCCCTACCCAATAATGTATTCATTCATGTTCTGATTGTTGCTTTCGAAATTTTTATTTTTAAATATAGAATATTTTCGACAATAAAAAGTAGTCACCACTTCCATACCTTAATGGTTTCCTAAATCCTTTATATTCTATTTCTTGAACATGAAAAGTAATTATCGGACGAAACAAACGGCATGTACCAAATGTATAATGTTGCTCATCACGAGAAATTGTTTCATTCGATCATGTTTGATGCTAATATGATTGTAAATAAATTTACGTGTACGCCTCATGATAATTTATCGTCTAGGGCCTCAAAACTTTCTGGGCCGACCCCTGCATTCCAGATATAGATATACGTATATTAGCAAGGTAAGATATTTTTGGATGCCAAAGTGAAGGGATAAGGTAGTGTTAACTACAAAAATATCCTAGATGATAGGCGCCAGCAAAACCACCTCCATCATAGGAAAAAGATTCCTTATCCACATTCTAAATATCTATGCTCTTCTTCTTAGACTATAAATTGATTGGAACCCCGAGTGAATTCAATCATTCAGAACCAAGCTAAACAAAATGCAGGCAGCTTTAAGCTTGGCACCTCCTGTTCTCCCTTGCTCACTTCCCTCCCAGCCCCCGCCAAGGCTTTGTGCTTCAACCTGTTCGCGATTTCCTTCAATAAGAACAAATGCCCTCGCAGTTAACTATAACTCCACAATCTCGTAAGTGCCATTAACTCTTCCTATATATGTATTTTCATTACGTGTTTTGTTCCATTTCTGATGTTTGTAGCCTGTCCACTATGTAGTGTTTTTCCTGCAGAAGCCTGTGAAACAATTGGCGGAGATAGCTGCATAGCAGATATATATCCGGAAGTGAAGCTCAGGCCAGAGGCCAAAAGTAATATGCCAAAGACTTCCTCTGAACCAGTTGATAGAGAGTACATCGATTATACTGATCCCAGAACGTAAGAATCTCAACTTAACACTCTATATATAATTGCTTGAATCATTGCTACAAATCAATAAAGCCATGGCGTTGTGCTAACTAGAAAATTTGTTTACATGCTTGCAGTGTGTTGCTGGGCGAAGCTTGCGACATTCTGGGAGGAGAATTCTGTCAGCCCGCATGCCAACTGGGAAACTGCTAGAACCACTATTATCATACTTTAAGCTTTGGCATTGGTAGTATCTACTTGATCATTCGTTTGTGTAAGATACGTTAATCTTTTGTGTGTTGTATGAAGTTGAAAATATCAATGAATGGATACCAATACGCCACTGCTAATATAAATGAGACTTGGTAGCATCCGATAAATGCCTATAATACTCCAAAACAATGAAAACAAATGGACGCACGTTGGCTAACATACTAAGGCAGCAAGCCCCTGCAGCTTGGTGTGAGTTTTGCTGGTGGATACATAGCTGGTGGTTTCTATTCTGTTGTATCACATCCTGCTGACTACCTTGTCTCTTTCATCAACAATGCCAAGGGTGTCACTGTTGGCGATGTGAGTGTTTTACTTATATTCTTCCCTCTTTTATCTCGAACTTCTCAATTAATAAAAAAGGTATGGATGTCGTGCTCTAAGTTTGCAACTTGGTTGTGTCTCAGAGAAATGTACTTTTAAGTCTGTAACAAACAGTGAACAGAGGGCAATAGACAAACAAGCCTTGACTTCTGCCCCTTCTATTACAGTTTTGTAACTATTAACAGTTGGCGTACTAACGACATTATGAACCAATAAATGAAAATATTGCTAACCTAGATTATGATCAGCAGGAAAGTTGTCATTGTCTCCTACAAGAGATGATCCTGATCCAAGACCGTCGAAATCTGCCATTGTTTCTCCTTGATAATCAAGTGGAGAGTCATCTAGGAAGCTCGGGTCATAATCAATTGACATTCCCATCACATCCAAAATAGGAAGGCTAAAATCAATGCCATCAAAGATCTCTCTCATTTCCAAATCTCCTGCTTTCACAGCCTCAATCACCTGATCCAACATAAAGAGGATGAAAAATGCAGAATCAGAAAATTAAGAAAAAGTTTCAAAATAGTAAGGAAAATGATTTCTTACATATGTTTCTCTTTCATCATCTCGGTAAATAAGAACGTAATCCCCCGCAATCAAGCTATGGGTACTCACAAATTCCCCTGATCAGTTTTGACAAAATAACATTAACATGAATTTTAATTCAAGGAGCCCCAAAAAGAGAACAAAACTAAAACCTGTTCCTTAAATACCAGTGTACTCGAGCACATACATCCTGCTGCTATTGTTTGGCCAAAACCTACGTGGAATAAGAAAACACAAAGGTATCGACTCACAGTTCAGGCCCTTATAATTGCATTATAGCTTCATCAGAAACAACTTATAAATTAGTACTGATATTTAATTAATTTTTTGTTCAATCTCTAGTACTTTACCTTTTGGGTTCATAAAACAAATAAAAGAAATCAATTATACCAGTTCGTAATTAATATCAGAGATAATGGTAGTCTTAAAAGGAAACCTGAACTTGAAACACCACTCATGAGTGCCATCCATGTCCATCATGTCGATAATAATCCCTTCCTTGCTCTCAAGGACAGGAAGATGAGTCTCAGCTTCTTTCTGCAATCAAAAAACGGAAGGCAGCTTGATTGTTAGGCTCTAGAAAAGGGCACATGCTACACATCAGTACCTTTCCAGTCTTTGAAATAGCTAAGGATGGTTGGTTCCTATGACACTTTTGGTTATCTATTGAAAGAAAGTAATGATGGAAAAAATATCCAGAAATTAAGGGTCGTAAAACGGTTACAAATTACATAAAAGGACGCAATGATTCTGCAAAGTGAAAGCTGATATGCAAACCTTTGGAAGAACCATTCTTCTTAGGCTGTTTACATCACTCTTCTGGAGCTGCTTCTTGAAAAGAAACTTCAGCTTTGTCCTAACAATTGCCTAAGACATCAAACCATGACTAATGTCAAAGATATTCCTAAACAGACTTGATTCGAACTAAATAACGAAGAGAATTAAAAACCATTCTGATTACAAGATAAAATGATTGATAATACAGTATGTATAGCTGCATAAATTAGTCTTTCCTTGAGAAGAGTGCAATGTTTCCAGCATCTGGCTCATAAGTCCCTAAATTAGCAGAAACACCCAATATCTGGCAATTAAGTTGCCGAATTTGGGTCAAACGTAACTTTGTTCCATGTTTAAGCATTTCCTACATTTAGTGGCCATTTTCATTGGCCACTGTTTTGCGTCTACATGGCAACTAGGAACCTATAACAAAAGGCACAATTACTCTAGTGGCGGTCTAGATAATTGCTTGAAATGTGCATCAACACCTTAACATAACCCCTTTCTTAATGTTCAAGCACTTGCTAGATATGTTGGCGGCTTTTGTCTGACTGCCACCTCTAAAATGCTTCTCATCCACAGAAAAAGTAGAACCACCAATGGTTGGTTGCAAGTGTTTTATGCAACCTAAATTCTAAACATTGAATGAAATGATATAAGAACTATCACTTTGAACTATATGAATCCAAACACAT